TTCAAGGCAGTCCAGAGCTAAGGGGCCAGCCTGGACAGCACTGAGAATAAGTCTCAGAATAACAGGCAAAAGGGGCTGGTGAGGCAGCTCCGTAGAGAGAAGTGCTTTCTCCATTCCAGCCTTGTTTCGGTTAAGGTGACTATGGCTGTGATGAAACACCACGACCAAAAGCAAGCTGGGAAGGAAAGGGTTTATTTCCTTACACTTCCACATCATGGCCCCTCACTGAAGGAAGTCAAGACAGGAACTCAAGCAGGGCAATCTGCCTGCAGTGGTATGAGCACCGGGCTCGCCTCGCTGGCTACAGTGACTGGACATTACTTTTTAAGGTTTTCTGACTTAATAAGTGCAGGTTATTAATTTATTAAATTATTAATTTGTATCTGCTCACCTTTTTCAGTGTGACAGTCACACAGTCCGTGGCCTAGGCCAGCCTTGAGTGCAGCAGCCTTGCCTGCTAGGATTACGGATTACAGATGTATCGCCCTGGCCTACTTGCCTTTCCTTAGTTGCTGGTCAGACTAAACATTTGCCACACACTCATTTCCATTTCCTTTCTTTTTCAGTGGCTTGCCTTTTGGTCCATCTCATTCTCATTTTTATTTGGTCTTCGTGCTTAAGTTTTTTGTTTGTTCGGTTTTTTGTGGCTCTTCCATGTATTTGGAGTGTTGAGGCCATGGGGAAAAGATGGGCTTCCAGACCAGAGGGAAAGAGTGGGCTGAAGAAGTGGGGAGTTTTAGAAGTTGAGCGTGTGGCACGGTCACCGCCCCATGGGGACAGAGCTGGCAACCCACGAAGCAGCACCACACAGAGGAAATAGCCTCCTAGGAAGAAGCCCAGCTTAGTGTTGTCACTGACCGGCTGGTGATCTTAGACAAATCACTCATTGCCTTAGAGTCTCTGGGAGAGGAAAAGGCCGGGCTCCTGGTCTCAAAGTCCGCTCTACAGAGCAGCAGTTAGCAAAGACCTTCCGGAGTTCCTTCTAGTCCTGTCCTTACCCCGCTCCCCATTTCAGACTGATGGGATGCAGTAAAAGCAGTCTCCCCCGGACTTGCAGAGCTTGATGGAACCCTGACATAATTGTTTTAGTCTGCTAACTTTCAGGACTGTAGAAGTCAAAATAAAACTGGGTGGAGTGCTTTTAGGTGCTCCCGTAGACTGACCCTTGGGCACCTCATAAAACGAGCTAGAAGAGCCCTGCTGTCCTGTTGCACAAACCCTGCCATACCTCGTAGCTACGACAGCCTCACCCCGATGAGTATGCTCCATGGCAAGTTATGGACAGTATCTGCTGTTCCACACAGAAGCTACTGTTAGTATTTCCCTTGTGGTTTGTAGACGCTTCCTTTTAGAAGGTTTACTCCTGGAGCTGAGCATGGTTGCTTATGTCTGTAACTCCTACATTTAACGGAGATGAGAAGGGTTGTGAGTTCAAGGGCAGCCAGGGCTATAAGAAGAACTTATCTCAAAAAATAAAAAAGAAACTTTAGAAAGATAAGATAAATGTTCATTTTTATTTCCCTCTTAATTTTAATTTTTTAAACTTATTTTGTTTTAATGTTTGTGTATGTATGTAAGTATGCCACAGTACACACCTGGAGGTCAGAGGACAGCTTTCTTTCTTTCTCCCTTCCTTTCTTCCTTCCTTCTGGTTTTTTGAGACAGGGTCTCTCTATGTAGCCCTGGTTGTCCTGGAACTCACTCTGTAGACCAGGCTGGCCTGGAACCTGGAGATCCACCTGCCTCTGCCTCCCAAGTGCTGGGATTACAGGCGTGCACACCCCTTCCCCACCCCCAGCCAGAAGATGACTTTCAAAAGTCAGTTCTCTCTTCTACCTCGGGCTCTGGGGAGCCGCCGGGGTTGTCGGGCTTGCTTGGCGACTGCTTTCATCCACTGAGCCGTCTCATCAGTCGTAGGTTTAGAGGTGTGGGAATGGGAAGTTTTAACAGCTTTTCAAGTGTCGGATACACACTTCAGGGAGCCAGTACCCAAAGATATTGTCGAAATTTCAATCCACGTCCTTCAAGATGCCCCCAGCATATTTTTCCAGGCTTATCACTCTCCACTACCCACCCTCCTGGCACTGTGGCAATCCAGTGATTCACTGTTTCCTGGACCCGCCCAGTCCCCTTCCTGCCTCTGTGCCTTTGCTCAGGCAGTCCCACAGCCCCCAAGCTACCCCCACCCCGTTCCTGATGAGCCCCTGTTCCTTAAGATTCCAAACAAAGCATGACTTTTAAAATACTGAAAAAGCATGTTCTGGTGTTGACTTTCGAATCAGTGGCTATCTTTTACTTCAGAGCTTGCCTTTGCTCTTGCTGAATTACTGCTTCCTTGTAAGATTACAGGCACCATACTCGGGAGGCTGTTTTTTCTTTGTGGCTGTAATGCATACAGTGAGCAATCAGATACTCACGGCATATGAGATTTATCTGATCTCGCGCCCACAGCATTCAGCAGTTAAGGTACCCCGCCATGGCCTGTAAGTCCTGGTCTCATCTGGCTGAGCTCCTGTCTGTCAGCCCTACCTCCCTCCTCAGCAGTTTTATCTCTGCCTCAGGGCCTTTGCATTTGTTCTCTCTTCTGCCTAGAACTCGCTCCTCACCTCCTCCCGTGGTGGCCGTGGTGGCCGTGGCCGGTAGCCTGGATCCTCCCCCTCATTCAGCATTCCACTCAAATGTCATTCTCTGGGCTTTCTCTGGCCACACTGAAGTCCCTGCCCAGCCATTCTTTGTGTGCCTTCCCAGCAGAATGGGAGGTTCATAAGGAGGGAGACCCTGCCCACCATTGTTGACTCTCAGCCTCAGACCCTGCCCAGCGTAGGTAAATATTTGCTGAGTGAATGAATAAGCATTGAAGATAGACTTCTCATTTTAACAAGTCTTGTGTGGGTTTGCCGTCCAAAGAGGTGTGGTGTTATCTTCCAAACGGACAACAGCCCGCATGGTTCCATGTGGGTTCACATCAGGTGGCATTCTCTGAGGATTTCTGGAGGACAAAGGCTGGGCACAGTGGCAGCTGGGATTTGGTTCCGTCTGGATGCAGATTTCCAGGGTGATCCAGGGACCAGGACACTTTTGCTACCACTGTGTGCTCCCACCTGCTACACAGAGAGAAGGCAGCTCTTTTGGCTCCTGTTAGCCTTGACCTTTTCCCCTCTCTGTTTGTTTGTTTTGTTTTCAAGACAGGGTTTCTCTGTGTAGCTCTTGTCTGGAACTCACTCTGTAGACCAGGCTGGCCTTGAACTCAGAGTGCCGGGATTAAAGCATACACCACCACCACCCTGCTCTCTTACTATCTTTTAAAACCTGGAATCCTGCTGGTAAATGCCTGAGGAACCAGCAGGCTTCTGCTTTCCTCTCTGGGGAAGAAACTCTCCAGAGCCCTCCAGGAATGATGGAATTATGTTCCTTCTACCTACTTGAAATGAGACCGATTAGAAATACTCTTCAGCAATAGCTTTGAATTGGGTTCACCAACCCCTAACTGAATCAGACATTCTAACAAAGTCTCCCATGCCCTTCCTTTATCTCTGTCTCTTTGTGGTGTTTTTATTTTGAGTTAGGACTTCATGGTCTGGCCAGATTGGCCTTGAACTCACAGCTGTCCTCCTGCTTCAGTCTCTCCAGTCCTGGGATCACAGATGTAACTTATTTCCAGCCTTTTTCTGCTTTCATGACTGGGTGGACTTTTTAATTCCATGCTCTTCTTTTCTTTTTCATGCTTTTCTTAATATTGCCTTCAGATTTTATTTTATAAATGCCTTTTACTGCAACTTAAGTTTTCAAAGTGAAAGCGCTTTTTTCCTCTCACATAACCCTCAGAATAGTCTGTGTCATTTAATCCCTTGTGTTTAAATGAAGGGATTAAGACTCTGTGAGGAAAGTTCTTGCCATGCGAGCATAAGGACCTGAGTCTGGGTTCCCAGAACCGGTCTAAAGCCAGACTCTATGTTTCTTCTGTAACCCCGATGCTGTTATGACAAGGTGGGAGGCAGAGCCAGGAGTCCTGGAAGCTGGTGGCCAGATCACTTGGCATAAGCAGTGGAAGAAAAGAGACCCTGCCTCAAAGAAGGAGGACCGTGAAGACCGACATCTGGGATTGCCCTCTGACCTCTACATCCATGCCTGTAGTCACACACAAATGTGCTTGTACACACACAAACACACACACAAGTGTGCACACACATGCATTCTGCCCACACACAATCCACAGGCAAAGATTTAAGCAGCAAGACTGAGAACCAATGAAGTTGACTTTTCCATGTTAGCTGAAAGGCATGCATTAAGAAAGGAACATTAAAATCCAATTAAAACGTTGGTGTTAATGCTAAATGTAGCTCATGCCTGTTCTCCCAGCACTTGGAACATAGACACAGGAAGATCAGGAGTTTAAGGTCATCCTTGGCTATACAGTAAGTTTGAGCTATCATGGGTTATATAAAAGCAAAACAAGAAGCTGGAGAGATGGCTCAGTGGTTAAGAGCACCGGCCACTCTTCCGGGAGACACGGGTTCCTTTCCCAGCATCCACACTGTGGCTCAGAACCGGCTGTCACTCCAATTCTAGGAGATGTGATGCCCTCTTCTGACCTCCACAGGTACTGCGCACACATGGCGAACAGCTGTAGGCTCTTCACATCCATAAAAGGGGTGTGTGGGGGAGCCAAAAATAAAACATCCATATTAGCAGATTAATCCCTAAGAAACAAGGCACATAGTTTCCCGGGGGTTCGCCCAGCGATCCTGCTTCTGTGGCTGTGGGATCAAGGAGTCTCAGGACGGCCTGGCTGTTCGTACCCCTGCTTGCAGCCCTGTCCTGTGCCCCTCAAGGCAGGCTCAGAGACCTTTCTCCAGAACAGTCTCTCCTCAGTGAGGCCGTTCGTTCCGTGCTCCTGCCTGAAGGAGCTGGCTCAGCCGATCAGATTGAGCAAATGCTGAAAAAAAAATCATCTAAAATTTCAGATAAGAATAATGGAAGCAGGCCTGTCCTGGGGAAGGCCAACAGTGAGACCAGGAAGGTCTGAGTTTGCGGGATCTTGACCAGTTCTTAAGGACATGGACTGCGGTAAGGAGAAGTGACCTTCCTAAAAAAGGCATGGTTCTCTGTGTCCACACTGTGAAGATGCTTTATTAGCCTTCCCCCACCCCAAGACAGGGTATTCCTGGCTGTCCTGGACTCACGCTGCAGGCCAAGCCCTGAGCTCAGAGGTCAGCCTGCCTCTGCCTCCCCAGCGCTGGGAACAAAGGTGTGTGCCACCTCCCCCAGCTGGCTGCTTTGTCTCCGTTAGCGTGTAATCGGCAAAACCTATGAGCACGTGGTTTCCAGACGGCTGCTCAGGTCAGCTTGTTTCTCTGCGTAGCTCTGGCTGTACTGGCACACTCTCTATAGGCCAGGCTGGCCTCGAACTCAGAGCTCCGCCTGCCCCTGCTTCCCCAGCACTGTGATTGAAGGCGTGCGTGTTCCAGCACAGCGCTGTTCCCCGAGCTGCCACACACTCCGTGATGCCGCTGATGGTGCAAAGGCGAAAGCAGAAACGAGAGGAAAGAAAATCTGTGGGAATAGTCTTGTCAACTCTTCACTTCCATTCTTTTTCTGTTCAACTATACTTTCTCCCAGTTTCAGCTTAAATCTGAAATTATCGACAGAATTTCTTTTTCTGGCAATTTCTCTTACTTTTTATGTTAAAAAAAAAAAAAAACCCTCTGGTGAGCTTTGTCTGTCCTTTATGTTGAGTTAATTATCAACAGAAATGGAGAGACCGGGAGGAAGCTTAAGGATAAAAAACCAATCAGGTTATTTGGGAGGGGGGAGGTAAGCTTAGATTACAGCTGGTAATTGTTTAATTTAAGGGGAGAAAAGATTTAGAAAGGTTCCTGGGTAATCTTTGCTGACCTAGAACTTTAAGGTCAAGGTGAGATTTTAAAAGCCGTACATTGTATTCTATGTTTAGAGACGATGCGTGGAAATGACCACAGTAATATATCTAACAAGCTAATTCTGCTTTTTTCCTTTCTTCTTTGGTTTTTCTTTTTTTTTTTTTTTAATATTTTATTTTACATGCATTAGTGTGAAGGCGTCAGATCCCTTGGAATTTGAGTTACAGACAGTTGTGAGCTGCCATGTGGGTGCTGGGAATTGAATCCAGGTCCTTTGGAAGAGCAGACAGTGCTCTTAACCACTGAGCCATCTTTCCAGCCCATATTCTTTGGTTTTTCAAGACAGGGTCTCTCTGTGTAGCCCTGGCTGTCCTGGAACTCACTTTGTAGACCAGGCTGGCCTGGAACCCAAGAGCTCCACCTGCCTCTGCCTCCCGAGTGCTGGGATTAAAGGAGTGTGCCACCACCACCCAGCACTTGCTTTCTCTCTCTCTCTCTCTAAGTTTTTCACATTAAATTATCTTGCATACACATGTGTGGACACACGTGGAGTCAGAGGACAACTTTTGGAGTGAACTTTCTCCTTCCACCATGTGAGTTCCGGGGATTGAACCCAGGTCCTTAGGCTTGGAGGCAAGTAAGTGCCTTTACCTGCCGAGCTGCCTGGCCCTGACTTGGGTTTCTGTCACCATGGTTCACACCAGCCCCGAGCCTCGGCCTCGTCTCTGGTGTAGTGAGGTGACGCTGCAGTACCCATGTGCCAAGGTCGCTTTTCCATTTTCTGTGGACTAGAAACCATCTTGTTTCCAGCTCCACCCCCCAAAGTGAACAGGATTTCATTTCCCGTTGCCTCTCTGAGCCCACAGTTCTTCCCAAACATATTACTCAGCAACTTAAATCCGATGTGACAATATTATTTCCTTGTGTGTTACTGTAAGAATTAAATAAATTTAAATGTGGAATTAAATTAAAACTGCCCATTCGAGCCAGACTTGGTGGCACATGCCTGTAATCCCAGCACTCAGGGAGGCAGAGGCCAGCCTGGTCTCCATATCAAGTCCAGGACAGCCAAGGCTACACAGAGAAACTCTACCTCGAAAAAAAACTAAACAAAAACAGAAAACAACAACTGCCCATGCCCAGCCCAGGAGAGCTGGCCCTGATGGTGTGGGCACAGATGAGACTGGCCCTGCTCCTTGTTGGCCGTGGTGTTGGATGGGGCAGGGCTGGTCAGGAGCGCCCACCCCGCTGCTGTGGGTTTGGGAGGGCTGGCGAGCTCATCATCCCAAATACCTCTCAGGCTTTGAGCTGGCCCACCCCAACATCTGCCCCAGCTGCTGGAGCACATGAAGGGGCCGGTGCTGCAGATCCAAAGCTGCAGGATCTCCATGACCCAGGGCAGTGACAGGCTAGCCGAGAGGAGCCCCGAGAGGATCCAGTATTGATGGTGTAGCCGGAGCCAGAGGCTCCGAACCACAGCGACTCACGGCAAAGAACATTCACAAGCAAAGCAGCGTGGACGACTGTGCGCTGTGAAGCACTGCGACACGCTGCAGCTTGCACAACAGATTTTTCCCCTCTGTTGGCGGGGAGGCTGCAGGGGTGGAAGACGGGTACAAGGGGTGTGAGACGTAAGTGGGATTGGGGTACGTTATGTGAGACTCACAAGGAATGTCCGTGTAACCGCAGCAATGGGATGAAGATCCTACGAGGCCTCTGGGCTCTGTAGTGAGTACAGGCTCAGCCCGGGCTTCAGAGTGAAAACCTGTCTGAAAAGCAAATAAGGAAACGAAACAAAACAGAAACTGGCCAAGCATGGTGGCAGGAGCCTGTAATCCCAACACTGGGGAAGCACGGGGAGGAGAGCTGCAGCTGGGAGTTCCAGGCCAGCCCAGGGTACACAGGGGGTTCCTGGACAGACAGGGCTGGGTAGTAATAATCTAACTTCAAAATAAAGGAGTTCGAGGCCAGCCTGGTCTACAGAGCAAGTTGCAGGGCAGCCAGGGCTACACAGAGAAACCCTGTCTGGAAAAACCAAACCGACAAAACCTCACTAGATACTAGGGATTTGGGTTTTCTGTTTGTTTGGTTTTGTTGTTGAGTTGTTTTTTTAAGACAGGCCTTCAAGTAGTCCAGGCTGCCCTCAAACTTGCTAGGTAGCTGAGGACAGCTAATGACCTAAACTTTTGCTTAGTTATTCTGCGATGTGGTGGGGTGTGCCTGTTGGGGGTGGGGCGCATTCGTAAATGCCACAGCTTGTGTCTGGGGTCAGAGGGTGGCTTGGGAAGTCCGTTCTTTCTCCCCAGGAGAGACCCCAGAAGTTGCAGGGCTGGCCTTATCAGGCCACCCAGCGCCTGCTACCCACCTCCCACCTCACAGGCCCCTTAGATTTCTGAACCTCTGGCTGCTGTTTCCCAAGTGCTGGGATTACGGGTGTGTGCCCCCATGCCTAACCTTTCTGCAGTGCTCTTGACGGAGCCCGTGGGCTTGTGCAGGATGTGCAAGCATTCTCCCAACTCAGCTGTAGCCTCAGCGCAGGTAAGAGGTTTGCTTACAGTCAGAGCCACCGTTTTACTAAACCCTCAGTTTGGCGATGTGCTGAGAGCTTCAGGAGATTCCCTCAGCGGCACCCGGAGGCAGACATTATACACCCTCCATTTCAGCCTGACTGCAGACCTGGGGTTCGGGCCTCTATCCTTTCCAATCTTGACAGCTTTGGAGAAGGCCATCCAGGTTACCTGGACACCACAGGCGTGATTCTCAGCAGGCTGCTAGCCGGTGGGAAGCAGGGTCTGTTTTGAATACTGGCTCTGTCACTTTTTCTGTTGCTTTGAGACCAGGTCTCACTCCAGGGCCCAGGCTGGCTAGAACTTGTGGCGCTCCTCCCTCCTGCCCTAGCATCTGGAATACTGGGATAACAGGTGAGAATTACAAGGTCTGCTTGGCTTCACAACTTTAATTTTTATTTCTTTATTTACTTTTTACTTATTTATTTATTAGGCAAGGCAGCTTGCGGGGGTCAGTTCTTCCATTTCCCCGAGTGACTCCCATGGAGCTGAACGCAGGTCACCAGGCTTGGCAGCAAGCAGCTTTCCCTGCTAAAAACCACCTCCAGGGCCCGATCCTAAAACTCCCCAACTGTGTGACACTGAGAAAATGACTTCTCAGAACCTCAGTTTCTTCCTCGGTCGGATGAGAATACTTGCTCCAGGAGAATACTTGCTCCAGACGTGGGAAACACTAAGTGAATGGGATCAGGTAGAATGATGAGCCAGTGTGTGTAAGACGTGCGGCATATGGCTAGCACCCGGTAACTGATCCCCAGGCTGCTGAAGCTACGGCGGCCTGGCAAGGACATGGTTTCCCTAGGCAGGCGGCTAGGATCTTCTGTTCTCCCCACTCTGGGTACTATCCCTGGAGAACAGGCCAGAACTAATTCCCAGGGCTCGTTTGCCCTGGAGTCTAGAGCACCCACTTCAGAATCACGTTGAGACACACACACACACACACACACACACACACACACACACACACACACA